TGGTGGGAAAATCCGCTGCCTCTCTGGAGGGGCCCGGGTGGTTTTAGGGGAGCTCCTGGCTCGGCTTTGCTTCCCCGAGTCGGTGCGGAGACCCAGCAGGGCCGGGAAGCGGGCGGGCAGGTGGCGAGGGGGTGGGCGTTAGGTAAAACTTTGGAGGGGAAAAGCCGGATCACCCCCGCCCCGAGCAGCCTCACTTCTCTCCCAGCCTCCGCACGTGACCTCTCATCCTGGGTGCCAAAATCCTTGGGGCGCCAAAATCCCCCAGGGCGCTGTCTCTTTAAGAGGGCACTGCCAGCCCCCCGGGCGCAGCCCCGGGCGCTGGGCATGGGCGCAGCTCCCAGCCCCTGGCTCCCTCCTTCCGCGTGTCTTGCAGTATGAGGACCTGGCGTGTTACCCCGCGATGGATGGACTCCCCTTGCCGGGATTCGCGGACCCCCACCTGGGCAGGAGCCTGCCGCCCCCCTCGCTGAGCCAGAGCTCCCCGTACGGCCCCTCCGGGGTGACCCACCGCGCGGGGGCACCCGCCGGCATCGGCAACGGCGACGCCTGGAAGCGCGAGAAGGATGAGATTTACGGGTAAGGCTGCGCCGGGCCCTAATGCAGGGGGCGGGGGGTGCAAGGCGCGGGGCAGGGGTCTGCACCCCATCTCTGACCCCCAGCGGCGCATGCACCGTGTCCGCCCGGTTTCAGGCGAGTGCTGTCTCCCGGCGGAGACGGACCCAATGAGACTAGACAAAGAGGGTTTCATTTTCTTTTGAGGGGGGGCTTTTAGGGGCCAAAAGGGACAGGACGGCGCTTCCCCAGGGAATGGAAGAAGGGGCTGGGGGGGAGGAGGGCGGGCGGAGACTGGTTTTCATTTGCGGCTTTGCCTTTTCCCGGCCGATTCGGGGTCTCTGTGGAGTCGCCCGTCTCCGGTGCCGGAGCCTGGGCGATGCCAGGGGCGGGGTGCGACGGCAGGCGTGTGGGAAGGGAGGCGGCTCCGGGTGTGCGACACACATGTTGGGGCATGGCGGGGAGCGCGTGGGCTGAACTTGCCGGAGGGGAATGGGGAGCCTTGGCACGGCAAGACAGGGCGAGGCGGGGAGCAGAAAGCAGAGCAGCTGATGGGGTAGGGAATATGGAGCGGGGAGGAGAAAGCAGAGCAGTGGGTCAGGCAGGGAGCCTGGGGGGTGGGGAGCAGACAGCAGAGCAGCAGAGCAGGCAGGGAGCCTAGCGGGCAGGGAGCAGAAAGTGGATCCACGGATGGGGCAGGGAGCAGACAGCGGAGCGGCAGACAGGGCAGGGCGAGGGCAGCCCCCCCGCGCCGCCCCAGCCCCACTGGCCCCGCAGGCACCCGCTGTTCCCGCTCCTGGCGCTGGGGTTCGAGAAGGGCGAGCTTGCCAAGTGCTCG